TCCTGCTGAGTTTAGCAGTTGGCATCAGGAATTTGTCAACAATAACAAAATAGGTTAAATGGGGTCACACCTGCAACCACTCTGAGCCACCTGCTCCAGAAGTTAGCAATAACCTAAGAAATTACATAAATTGCATCAGGCAACTTGTAAGGAGCTAGCATCCTGCCAAAAATGGACTGTCTCATGTATGTGTGCAGCACAAAGCACAATCTGTCATTTTTAACACCAGTTACTTGGGTTTCTGGTTGTGGCCTCTCCCTGCCATGGCCACATGTGCCCCTTCTCCTTGTGCAGCAGACAGTGCTGCTCCCTGTTGGCTGCGGGCACAGGGCACCAGGCTCAGCTGCAGCAGGAAAAGCTGTGAGCACAGCATGAGCCATGGGCCACGGCTGGCTGGAGAAGACTTGCATGGGACAGACTAGCACATCTCCCTTTTGAGCTGAGAACATGAATCACTTAGTTAAAACTGCACAGTTAAAAAGACCCTGCTGCTGGCAGTGACTTGACAGAGCTGGGCCCCAGGAGATAAAGCACATAGAAAGGGTTAAAAAAAACCCCAAGAAAACCAAACAAAAAAACCCTAACAGCATCATCGAGACAGACCTCATTGTCACCTCCTCACAGCCCACACCATCACCACCACTCTCCCACGAGCAGAACAGCCGTGAGCAGCACAGCCAGTTGCTCCAGTTTGCACATTTAAGTAAGTTTCATTTGCTAATGGCAACCCTGTGAGCTCAGACTGTTGTCAAGGTGGAGTCTTGGCAGCTCAAACATCATCCTTGTTAGGCAGGTAAGTAAAAATACCCAAATGATGGTATGTGCAGAGTGCATTCAAGTGCTGGTTGAATGCCATTAAAGATTCTAACATGTGAGACAAGTTTACCAGAGGTTTTCTTGTCATCATCTGGAAAAACCATCAGCAGCTTCTCCCCAGTCCTCTCCAGCCAGGAGTAAGCTGTTCACCAAATTAAAAAAAAAACAAAAAACAAAACCTGCAAATAGACACACAGTAGCAACACACAGGCATGCTGAGACCCCATCTTTCAGTCCATGCATTTGGTCTGAACACCACAAACATGTGCAGGCACCCCCAACAGGAGGAACAACAGCTGAGAATATCTGGGTGCATTTGTCTTGTATCAGCTGAAATATTTTTTTCCCCTCTAATGGACAATCAAGGGGACATTATTTCACCCATAACAATTTAAAGCCATCAGCACCAGCCACCTCCCCTACCCCCAGCATCCTCACATTGTCATTACTGCATTCATTTGTGGATCTCCCACTACCTGTGCAAAGGAAGGTGGCTTTCTGAAACACCAGCACCCCTTCCTGCAAAGTGCACAGATGCTGGACCACTCCTTCATAGCTTAAGTGGATAGCAGGTGTGAACATTACTCTTGACTACAGGTATGAGAAATGCAAATATGCCAAGAAGGTACTGTGCTTGCTTTGATCAATGACGTTCACAATACTTGGTGAGCCAAAAGATTTAAAAAAATAAAAGGGATGGAGAGATGTGCTCCTTTATGGCAGCAAGCAAAAATGTGCATTGCTTTAGCTTTTTGAAGGTGGGCTACAAAAGCAGCCACAGCTCTGCAGTCTCTCTCCAAGTAACAGCAAGCTCCACACATTGCTAAACAGTGGCTACACTTCACTAATGCTACCGTCAGCATTAATGCTAGCTTATGCATTTTTATGAAGGTGGCAATTATTATTAAATCCTAGCTGTGCTGGCTATGGGATAGAAACCCTTGTTCATTTTTCATTTCCACCATATTGCCCTGCACTGACATTCAGGTAGCTGTGCAGGTTGAGCAGGGTAAATCAGTCTTCAAAAATTAGGTAAGCCTGTGTGGAATCAGTTATATCAGTTATTAAAACTTTTACAATTATTCCATTTAGATACTATTGTAGATACATAATTTACTCTTAAATCTTGTAATGTGTTTTCACTAGCATAAAACAAAGCATAAAGGAGACCAGCATCATAGCTCAGCAAATTTAAGCAACAGGTGGAGACAGCATACCTTGGACTTTGCATTATTCAGGCTAATAAGTAACTGAAGAGAAAAACTTAAAAAACTTTTATCTGTAGCAATTAGAAAGAAGACATGGCTTTCAACAGGCAAAGGTCAAAGCCAACCTGCTCACGAACTTAACAGATTTATTTGTTCCCTTACAGAGGTAAGGATAAACATCTCTCATTAATACAAAATAACTTTCTCTAAATCAGGCTAACAGATTACTCTCTGTGGAAAGCAAGAATGATCATGAAGTGACTGGAAACTAGTTTCCAAAGATAGATTACCTAGGATTTTATTTTATTCCATATTACCTATGCCCTGGCATAAGCAGCACAACTGCAACTGTGACAGCTCCAGCTGCAATTCCATAACTGCAGCTTCTTATTACACCTAAATGACATTTTCACAAACCAGAATTGAAAATTTAAAAACCATCTGATGCCCAAGCTGAAAACCATTTTTTACAGCTGGCTCTTAAGAGGCTACATATGCAAGTAATATCCTTCACCTGTCTTTCCTGCCCCACTGCAGTCACAAACCCTCCTTTCTCACAAAGCACTCCTTGGTCCTCCACACACCCCCAACAGACATTTTGCACTTTCCCCTTCCAGCACCCTTAGCTCCCTCTGCATGCTTCAAATGGGCACCTTAGCTGTGCAAGTTGACAAGCCAGTCAATACAAAAGTAATGTCTGCCCCAGAAAAATTTAGATTCAAGTTGCCTGTTTTGGGGGTTTTTGTTTTTTAATGTGTGAGATTGGCTAATGTGCTAAATGAGTAGAGAAAGAGTAAATTAATGGGAACATAACCTTCACTTATTTAAGAAGCTATGCTAAAAACCCTACACCCTTAGGACAAACCAGTCATTTATTTAATCAAAATAATTTGCAGAAGTTAAAAACAGAAGCTACACAATTGGCTGCAACAAAGGTACACGTTCTCTCCCTTCCAAATAAAACCATAATTGACACCATATCTTAAAAAAAAAAAAAGTGTTTTAGGACTTCCACAGGAAGATTTTTTTTTTCCACAAATTTGCCAGTTTTTACCACTGATCACAAGAGCTAGCTGCAAATGTGAAACATGCTTAGTTTCTTAATTCTTTAAGAGAGCCTACCAAAGCTGCAACATGAAACTATCACCTGCATTATACTGTAGAACATGTTAAAATTCACTGAAAGAACACAAAGGATTTGAACAAGGCCTTAAAAGAAAGTCAGCATAAAGGATTGGTATGTCTAAGTGACACCTCTGGAAAATCTCATGTCAGTCATGTGTTTGTTCTGTAAGAGACATGCAAATGCACATTAAAACACACATTCTGCATTGGAATCTGATGATTTTTCTAGGACCTTGAAGACACCAATTTTTTCCTTTTTCATTTTTTCAGAGGTCTTCATTTGATCTAGGATTAAAACAAAACAAAGATCAACAATAATAGGTGAAGTATATAAAAGTTGTATGTATTTTTGTTTGGATTTGGAAAACAAGTTGATGAAAATAATTTTGCTCCTTAATCAACACTCTGCTACTAAAAGTTTGTCCTTGAAAGTATTTTTCAGTTGTGTACTTTAAAATAAGAAAAAAAACATTCCAACACCTCTGGCTAAATCTGAATGGAAATAAGCAGTTTTAAGATCTGCCTGAACTAGTCCTGTTTTCCTGAGAAGAAAACACAAAGCAGTAAACTTATTCAGTGAAGTTACTAGGAGAAACACAGAAAGTTATGGCTCTGCTAAGCAATATTCTTTTCTGAAGTTCAGAGACCTACATTTTGTTTTCCTAGCACTTTGCAATCACTATGTTGCCGTTCCAGGGAATATAAAGCTAATGAAAAAGTATTGTCTTTATATCAAATATAATAATTATGGCTTACAGGGGCGGGAGGTGGCATTTCAGTTTTTAAGGCATTGACTGCAGCTACTTGTGGTAAATATTCAGTACATGATGCTAGACTAATATCTTTGTATAAATGTTTTTTGACAATTTTAATACTCTTAATTTTGCTTAGCATAGCAAAGGAAAAAAGCAATCATTATAAATATGATGCACGCTAATAACACATAATAAATGGCACCTTCTCCAACTTGAAAGGAGAAATCAGATTGTTTCACAGCTTGAACTTGTAAAGATATAGACCATATTATCAGTGCATCAAGAATAATTTTGTATATTAGCAGTCAGTTAACTGAAATAAGCAATTTTATAAAATAATTTCTTTAGATAATCTAGCAAAAAAACTTCAAGTACAGCAATAGTTTGCCTAAGGAAAAGTTATTTTATTCAAACTATATACATATCACACCTATTTAAGGCTATCATTTTCGCTTTTAAATTCTGTAATGACTGGTTTTTCTGTATCTATGCTTTTAGGCTTATCTCTCCTAAAGATGCTGAAGGAAATAAAGCATACTAAATCTACTGTTTAGATGAATGAACAAGATTTTTTTTTTTCCTTTCTCAGAAGTTTTTTATAATATCTTAGCCTGATCAAGCATGAGAATTTGCAGACAACTTCAAAAATTTTATGGTTTTTATTTTTAAATATTTGATCCACTGACAAGCCATGGTAACTCTGAAAAGCTCAATTTTCCCCCAAAAAATGTTAGATTACATTTGAATTATGATAGTATCAAAATAGGTTTTTAAACAAGTTTGCTGAAATAAAACTTTTCTCAGAATAATTTTTATTTTGATCAATCGACAGCAACCTGCAGGGAAAGCTCCTTTGCAGAACACCTCCTTATCTATGCTTTTCATTCACAGTATGCTCAGGGCACACTATGCATGAACATGGTTTTCTGGAATACTTTTGTTTAAGTTCTGTTATTTCTTCTTCGGCAAATCCTATTGGAAATGTCAGCAAAGGGGCCAAAGGGTCCTTCTTCAGATGTACAACACAGCTGTAGAGAAGTGAAGCTATGGCATCTTTCTACATACAAAGACTCTTACAAAATATGAATTTACTGTTAAATGAAAAAAAAATTTAAACACCGACTTACCAATAAGATCACTTCTATCCAAGAGTAACTCTAGATCTTTATCACTGATTACTTTTTCTTTAGATCCTTTAACCTCCCTGTTAAGGAAGAAATCATCTCTCAATATAAATAAAAGCATGTTAGAGTGAATATTGCATGGGAGTCAGTTCTCCCACATAGCAGAATCCCTAGGACATTCTTTCCACTATGAAGATCCACATAACACTTCATAAGACAAGAGAGCTACTAACAACTGCTTGCACTCCACAAGTTACAAACTCATGTCCAAGAAAAATATGAAATCTGCATACCTCTCATAGTCTCTGGATTTCAGCAATTCTATTAATTCCTGAGGGTCCAGGCAGCTCTTTGACTGTGCTAGACCAGATCTGCCACCTTTAAACTGATCTGTAGAAAGGAGAAATTTTAAGAAAGTACACAGACAGGAACAAATTCTGTAAATTGCTGAATTGATGCTCGATGCAAATATCGAACAAATTACTCTTGCACGTCAAAACTAATGCTACGTTTCATTGTTTTAGCCCTCAGGTAAACACACCTAATAGCCTAACTGGTGAAAAAAGTCAGAGGTAGATGAAGAGTTTACATGCAGGCAGGCCTTTCACTTTCTAGCTGTAGTATGCAGAAGAACTGATTGAAACACCAATTCAACATGCACACGCACACACAGAGCAGGAAAGTTATTAGTTCTACTTACAGTAAAAATATTGTAAATAAAGTTAGATGGTGGATGCTGAAGTTTTTTCCCTTTGTATTGTAAGCTGGTTGAAACAAAGTAAGCAGCATTAACCACAAGATAGGAAATATGTGAAAGATGTAGTTTGCAGAGAGGACATCCCTCAGTTTAATGGACTAGACAGACATGACAAAAATAATACACCTAACCCAGCCTGGTTTCTTGAAGAGACTATGCTAATGCCTATCTACACACAAATCTGGATGTGAGCTCAAATATCAAAAAAATTATACAGGATTATTACTTAACTAAAGCAGAGTGTAGATGAAGCCAAGCTCAGTCTTGCACATTTCAAGGAGACAGGCAAGGCTTACTGTTCTGTGCCAAGTTCCCTCAGTTTTTATTTACATAACCACCTGCTTTATTAGTCTTCATCGATCCCTTTCATGACACTGACTGCTGTTCTTCCCTATATCTTGGTTTCAGAAGTCATCCCCACACCTTTTCCCTCCCTCCAAGGACTGGCTGTTTCTCTGTGAAGTGCAAATCAGATGCAAGTTCCAAAGGGGTTTGAGCTATAGGATTCTCTCCCCCATTAACATCTCCTGCTGTGACACACAAGATCCAGGTCCTGTCATGCATTAATAGTAATGCAGTCTCTCCCTTTTAGTTTTCCGAGTTTCACAAACTAGCACTGAATTAGTGCTGTGCAGGTCTTGGGTTGCACTAATAGTGACACAGACAACAATACAGAAAACCCTATCAAGCACTTAACACTTTAAATAGAAGTTTATGTCCACCACTTCCTCTTAGTCTGACATCTACTAATTTAACTAAAATCATGCTGATTCTCATACAGTTTTCTAGGCAACTTTCTTCAACAAAACAGAAGCACAAGACTGAAAGAGCAACCCGGTGCTGAGGCCAAAAAAGTGTTCTGTTTTGCAACAGAAAGAGTTGCAAAAAAAAACCCCAAATGAGATAAGTATTTTCTATTATAGTTATTATCTATATTATAAAAATGTGCATTGTATAATTAAAAATACAGCATATTATAAATAATAATTGTAACAATATGTAACCTTATAAATCATTAATTCCAGTCCTTAAGGTACAGTATTTGTAGTGTACATACATGCTTAGACACCACTGAAAGGCCTGACTTAAGTCAGCTTTGTGATAGCCCTTCCTCATTCACTCCTCCAAAAGTTCCAACACTTTGAAATATTCAAAATTACAAGATCCATTACATCACCTTTACATTTACACAGTGGATTCAAAGGTTCCTGGAGGGGACACCCCTACCTAAGCTGCAAGATGTAGATATGATTCACCACTCATTAGCAAGATAAATATTCAACTTTTTTCAAAACTGAAGGCATGACCCTTGACATTTAGCTTCCTTCCAGTACACCAACTAGTCCCAGTTCACATTGCTATTTAGTATATAGCAGTCATCTACTATTAGAGCCCATCCTGTTTTGTGTGCTCATCTTGCCACTTTGGTTTTAACTTCATGTTGGACCACAATCAGATCACTAAAAAACAAATTTTTTCTTTCTTAAATTGGTCATTAACATGTCTACAGAGAGTCAAGTGGCAGTCCTGGCAGTCACACCAATGCAGCAGTGGCAAACAGATTACAAAGAAAAAGCTAAACCTACGATAAAGGAAGCATCTAACAGATTAGCCAAAATCATCCAAAACCAAAGGCAAACTACAGCTTAGGCTTGACAAGCAATGCACTGTGCACTAGACAGTTACAGGTGTTGCCCTTCTGTCCCCATGGAAGTGTTGTTGGTTTCCCCTGCCCCAATATGCTATAAGAAGGTCTTAAAACTCCTTTAAAGTTTAATATAAGGCTAATTATCATCAGAGGCATTAGTTAATTGTTCAAACAGGACTGTTCTACTGTGGTTATAACATACTGTTCTTGAATTCAGAAAGGCAGATGCAAACAGGGTGCTGAAATTTTGCACAGTGATTTTACAGCTTTAGGATTTGCACTCTCAACCAAGTTTAGCAGGAACCCCCCAGAAACCAGCTTTCTACAGCCTATACTCATTTTACCAATTTTAATAGGAATACTCCCTACTCAAGCAAGTTTGCCAGTGCAACTGGAAAAATTTATTGCTAAGCTTCACATCATGAAACACTGCTCTAGATGTCACTGGGTAGGCACATTGCTCCTCATGAAGAATTGTTATAAATTAAACTGCAAGCAGTAATAACTTTTTATCTGCTTTACCATTTATATTCTGATTCAATTAATGGGATTTTTAAAAGATAATCAAGTCAGACTTGTCATCTACTCCCAGCATTTTCCATGCTAAAAGACTGAAAACATTTGGGTCAAACAAACTATCATCTTGCTGACAATCTGCCAACAAGCCTAGAGCTCTACTCTCTTATTGCCTGGTTTTACCTATATGTCCTCCAGGCAGGCTCACTGTCCCATCACCTCTCTTTTCTTCCTTACCTACTAGTAAAGGAATAGTCATAACATAGTGATTCCAGAAACACTAGGAGTTCTTTCCTTTAATTTGCTGCAGAAGTTAATCTGCAATGTGTCTAAGAATGCATTTTGAAAAGTAATACTATATAGTCAGTTGTTGGAAGGATGAAGCTTTTTGCTTTTAGGCAAAAATACTACGCACTCACAAGACAGAGCAGCAAGACTTCTGTTGAGATTTAAAGCAGCAACACATGCTTACAGGAAGTCATAAAAGAAAGATACTAACTTTTGTGGATAATCAGCTTTTCCAGCTTCCTCTTGGCAGCAGCTCTCTCCACAATCTTCTGGTCGATAGTATTTGCTGTCACAAGACGATAAACCACCACTGGCTTTGTCTGGCCAATTCTGTGACACCTGTCTTGGGCCTGCAAGTCCGACTGGGGGTTCTGAGCAGTTAAAGAAACAAGTTAACTGCACCATTAACCTTTTCTTAAGGGACGTACCACAAGCAGCATTTTCAGCAGTGAGCTCTGAGAATCAGAGCTGAAGCAATAAGCAGGGCAGCCACAGTATAATACAACTCAGCATCTCTTTACTCTTGAACTCGTCAATCCCAAGCTCTACTGTTGTAGCCACACAGAGTAACCCAACTAGCTCAACTGCTTCTGCACTATGTGCTACCATTTTCAACAGATAGACATGTTTTGTATCAAATTCATCTGAGGGTGTTAGTTGTAGGTTTGTGTAGTGTTTTGTTGGAGAATAAGAAAAGGAATTTTAAAAGTTTTCAGACATTTCTGAAGCTGCTTTAGCTCTCCTGAAGCTGAATAGCCATGTAAAACAACAGAGCTGTCTATTAAAATAAAGTGAAGATGGGGAGGTCCTCAGTAATTTCCTTCCGTACCTCTCTTCTTCCTAGCCTCCAGGCTCACAGGAACAACAGAATCCTAGCTAGCTAAAACACAGGTGCCACGTCGCAAGAGGAAATTCATGGGGCTGGTACTAGTAACATGTCAGCTGTTGGAAAGAGGGAACATGCAGAAGGTCCGGCTACATTGAAACTTAAATAATAAATCCAAAGGCAGCAACTCATCTTCAACAGTAACAGAACAATTCCTCCTGCTTTTGGTGTAACTCAGGGACAAACAGGCTAGTTTTGGAAACAGATTCTAATGTTGTAGTCAATAAGCTAGGACTTTTCAAATGAGGCTTTATATTTCATATATAACGTGTTTGCATACTCTACTATTATTTTCACGTAAGACCTCATTAAAGTTACAGAAGTGGTCTATATCATAATGGGTTAATAAATAATCATCAAAAGCAGCAATAGAGAAAGCATTTTATGACACATATCATTAGGTTAAAAGTCTGTCAACATACCCAGTCACTATCATATATGATAACTGTGTCTGCCGCAGTTAAGTTAATGCCCAAGCCTCCAGCTCTTGTACTCACTAAGAACAGGAAGACTTCAGGGTCAGTATTAAATTGATGCATCTGGAAGAGAATTCATCTATTAAAAAAGAGCAGGTGGATCAAACACAATATAGCTGTTTTATTTTGAGATAACTGTGTTTAAAAAGATGAACACCGATAAAATACAGTACATGCTGTCAGAGGCCAAACTAAGACTTTAAGAAACACTGCATGTATCTGGGACAGGACAAGACCAAGAAGTGAAGCAATTGTATTTTCTTATCTCATTATTTCAGTCAATGAATCGTCTAACACACAGAGTAGAGCTGACTATAGTGACATATGGTCCAAATGGCATTCACCTCCACATAACCTACCATCCAGTGATATTTTCTTCCCCAAGGTGAGCACAGACCAAGCTGGCAGAACTGAAAAACGTATCTACTTCTTAACACAAGCAGCAACCTACAATACTGATGCCAACTTGACTATAACTTGCAACCACTGTGAATACCTCCTTCTCTTTCTTCAAAACTAAGAGTAGCTTCCTGGCCTCCTACTCAGCATCTAGCCTTTCACTGCAAGATGTTTCCAAGTGTCAGCACAGCTCCTACCAGGTCTGCAATACCAGTCAAAACCTAGTCTACTTAGTCTGACTACCCACATGCTGGTGGAAGAGTATGAGAATTTTCAAGACTTTGATCACTGCAGAAAAAAAGAAACCATCACCCCACTGCCAGGCAGTGCTTCTGGCTGTAAAGTAGCTCTTTCGAGAGCTACCCAAGCTCTCTAAAAACCCCATATCCTCTGGGCTCTCCTGGACATCAGCATTTGCAGCGCCAGCAGCAAATCATGGGCTGGGAAGAGCCTTGCTGGACTTCGACTGGTAACATGCAAGATTTTTCTCGTTGTGCACCTATACCACACTGTGGTAGGCACACAATCAACTCCTAAAAATCCCCACAAGCCCACAGTACAAAATTGTACCAGCCTCAAAAAAGTCACTATAGCTTGCTGACATGTTGCTAGTTAGCCTTTCCTTTTTAAGATCAACTCTAACAGTGGCAACCTAGGTGTTTAGGGGTTCGGTTTTATTCAGCCACACTGCAGCACAGAAGAAAAATGGGGCAAAATGAAGCACTGTTTGAGCTAGATGATGTCATCTGCCACTGTTTCTCTGTATCTTCATAAACACTAATGCATACTTTGGAGACCAGATGGCAGTTGCAGCACAACCCCTAGATACATCCTGTGTACTTCCTCCACGTGTGCATTGCTCTCTAACATCCCTGCAAACCCTCAGAGGTTTTCCAGAACCACCCTGCATGGCTGCTCTTCATGATAAATATATACCTCTGTGGTAAGGCGTTCTGTGATTATTTGAAACCACTACAAGTATGCAAGAACAAAGGATTGCGCTGGAACAAATCTACGTGCAATTTCAGGCTGAAGTTACAGGTGTCCCACTAGGTACAAAATCCCATTTCCTGGAAATCTACTTTATTTGGCATTAGACTTGCAGCATGCTCCCATAGATACTGGTATCATATCCAGGATGCTACGAAACAATACCTGCTGGGGTAAAACTAGGATTAGTATCTGCCACAATCTAGATATATGACACAGTTCACATCTGGGCAATAGCATACATGAGCACCCATCATTCTAGGCATACCCCAAGATACTGGTTAGTAACACATTCCATTGCTTCACTATTTCTGAGGCGCAGATGTTAAAGGAGCAGCAATGATGTCAGTTTTCAAGATAGATGTCTTTTGCCTATTAAAGGTTAAATGCTGTGCAAAATCATATCCCAGTGTCACAGGAACAAGCAGAATTTCCTAACGGGGTCAAAGGGCATGTGCATCTACTTACATTCTCTTCTCTCTCTGAGTAGGACATAGAGCCATCCAATCGACTAAATTTGAAATCTCTCAGATAGCAGTAATCCATCAAAATGTCAAGCATCATAGTCATTTGCGAGAACAACAAGACCTACAAAACGAGGAAGATTCCTTAGTACCATTCTTTGCTCATAAGGAGACAACTATGCTCCACCCCCAAATCATTAGCTTTACCTTATGTCCTCTCTTTTTCAGTTCTGGAAGCATTCGGTCCAAGAGTAGAAACTTGCCCGAATTCTTTACTAGATCTTCATCAACCTTGGAACAGGGGAAAGGGGATTATGTATTAGGAGGGAAGGATACCAAAGGTTTCCCTGACTTAGAATCAGTTAAATCATGATGAAACTAAATCAAACCCCACTATTTCATATGCTCTAATAATAATAATAATAATAAAAAAAAGATTAATTTGCATCCCATTTCTGGAAGGAGAGAGAAACCCTAACGATTTGAATTCTTCCATATGGAAAAGCACTGTGGCTCTTTTCCCAGCTTGTATTCAATGCACAAGGCTTCCATCTACTGGATATAAGGAAGCACTACTGAACAAGTTACTACACATGAGCCAAATGACAAGCTAACAGATGTTTTTAGACTGCTACCTTAGACCCCTCTTGCTTAAGAGAATTTGTTTGATCTAATTCTTGCTATAGGCTAAGAGCAGGGATATAGAAACTTCTCAGGTCTGAGCCATACAGCAGCCACCTTGGTAATTCCTAATCCATTTTCCTGAGCAGGTACTAGCTCCTGCAAGTGGTGTCAACTGTTAAACAGTCTGCATTTTCTACACATTAACTGATTTCCCCTCATCACCCAGACTGGGCTATCTGCTTTTTATGCACTGACTTTACATTGATAAACTTCAACAGCTTGCTGAGTGCAGCTGAATCTGTTATTGCTCACTGAACAGGAAACATGACTACACATGCCCACAAATCTACATTTAGAATGCGCAAGCAGCTTCCAGTTGTTCAAGATTCTTTCAATTCAAATTACTTCATACTTTCCTAAACTGCCAACTGCTTTGTGTAGATAAACTACTAGCTGGCCTTTGTGATTTGGATTTCTTCCCTTTTGAGAAGCAGAAAGGATGTTGTATTCTCTGAGCAAACGACACTGTTGTACTTGGTTCAGCCTTTCAACACCTCACACTTAAATGTTACTACCACACCTCCTGCAATGTGTACAATTTAGCTCATGGCCAGTTCACCAAGGTCAGCATTTTTTGTTTTGGAAATTAACCTTTGTAAGGAGAGCTTGAGGCAGATCCTAAAACACCTTGAGTCAATGGAACTGTTAGTTATTCTAATTAATAACTATTAGTTAATTCTAATAACTGTTAGTTATTCTATTAATTCTAACAGTTACTGTTAGAATTCAATAGCTTTGAGCACTGCCATAATGAAGAACACTACAGCATCACTGTGCAAAGGCTAAATCGGCACAGAAGCTGGAACTGGTCTCTGCAACTGCTACTGCAGAGAGACATAAGCCAAATACATTGAACAGGTCATTCTTTACTGCCATCAGCTCACTGTCTATTGCTTTTTAATGCCTAGAATAGTTTTTTTTGTAATCCTTTTAAAATATGTACCTTGAATTGTTGTGTAGCAGGGTCCAGTGGGTATTCTATAAGATAGGGGTGATTACAACATTTCCTCAGTAACATCATAATATTCTGCAGTTTAAGGTTCACCTCTGAATCCATGGGAATGCTCACGTCTACCACTGGCCTTAAAAAGATACATCATCTTATTAGTACAGAAAGTGTCACCTTATCATGCTACAAATACTGAACAGAAAAAAACAACAATAAAAACAAAATCAAGCAATGAATTCACATGCTGTGTCAAATGTCCTAAAAATCCCTCCTAATTAAAGCTATTACTAGACGAAACTTCTTTTAGTGCCACACATGGCACCAAAAGCACAAGGGTTTGCCATTATTGGTTTAAAATACAAAAGGGCAGTCAGTAGTAATCAGAAGCAGAAAAACCAACTCGTGCAAGTCACCCAACAAAAAAAGGAACAGAAGCAAGCCCTCTCTAGAACAAATGGTCAGATCTGCAAAACAATACATAAGTTATTCCAAAATCAGCTCTCTGCCTACCCCATTTTGGCCACATGTACACATTGCAGGATTCACAACAAATACAGCTGTTTAGCTCTTCCACATCCAAGCACCATATCCAACATAAGGGATCCATGCATACCATAAAATACAAACATATAAGCGTCTGTTCTTGCGAAGTACACTGGACTACAATAAAAATCTAGCAGAATAAACACATTTCAATCCTGAAGATTAATCTGGTTTTCCTTATGCCCAAGGGACTTCCAACCAATTTAGAGCCACCAAAAGAATTTGCAAAACCCAGGTATGAACATGATTCCTCAGCTCCCTCAGTCCTGAAACTCAACTCAGATCTTCATCACCAGAAGGTGACCAATACCTGTCACCAAAACAGCAATAACTGTGCTGGTCATTTGGGTTCCCAGCCTCAGCTTAAGCCCACATATTTTACAAAAGTTAGCAAGGAAACCACTACTCCCTTTTCTCCAGTCTTGAGCCCAAACTTTGTTTCAAGTATTTCTAAGCAATTCTGCAAAAACCTAGGAATTAACTGTAGTAAGCACACCAGCACTATCCCTTGTCCTGTCTTTGAGACAATGAAAGATATACTTGTGAACATAATTGGACACTGGAGACAAAAGGTTTACCTGAACCTTGCAAAGCCTGCAAAACTTAGCAAATGAGCTCTTCAGCTCTTTGTCCTCATTGCTAGCTGTAGCCAGGACCCAAGCTATCACAATGAAATTTCAACTGCCAAACAACTAAGATGAGGCAGTTCTTCCCTGGCTGGCACCCAATACCATCTTAGATGTTGAGGTTTTGGTGAAACCACAGTTCTTTGCTACCAAAATGTTTCAACAGCCCAAAGGAATTACATTGCACACTAGGACAGTTTAACTCTTTATGGATTTATAATAGCACTATTGTCACAGGACCTACTTGAGACTGTGACTAATAAAAACAGGGACTCAAGAAGCAATTTTATTGCTAGATCCTGCAAAGGCCACAGGTCTAGGAGGTCTGCAGCAAGTAGGAATAAATGTCTTGTAGTTAACTATAACTCTAATGAGCGAGTGATGGTACAACCTCATCATTGCTATCATGGCCTAGTGAATATTAGGTAAAAGCAAAGAAACAAATCATAAAGCAACAAGGATAGTGAATTACAAAATGCCAATCTTCTTGATTTGAATAAGCAAAGCTCTGGAAGCGAAGAGGGAGATAGTATAATAAAAAAGAATCCTTTAGGGCAGGCACCTTTCTTTTTCTACTTCCTCTTGCATTTTGCTGATCAATTTTTCCAAGTCATCAGGTGAATCATTATGTTCTTCACAATAATCAACCAGTTTTCGACTACGGCGTTTTGGTCGGCCTGTAGGACTCAACTCAACTACTTCTTCCTGTGGGAAATGATAATGTTGCCATCAGACGACAGTTTCAGATTCAAAGGTCTATGCTGACCCAAGAATTTTCACTACTGAAAATAAGTCTCAGTGATAAGCATCATGGAATACTTAGACTCAGCAGCTGTAAGTTTTGCCAAGTAGAAAATGCAGTCCAAATTTTAAAGGTCTATAATTGTAGATTTTTAAATCTTCTGCTTCATTTTTAAAAGCTGCATTAGTACATTACTGATTTCACAGCAGAAACTGTCAACTCTATGAAAACTGTTACTTGTAGCTTGGGGAAAAAAGAAGGCAAAGAAGAACATATTTACACTCAGATTGTATTAGTTCTCTGCCCACCAAGGCCAGTCACAGTAACTGCCATTGAAATAGATAAGACAGAATCAGACTAAACGCATTACAATGGTAATGAAACAATACCAACGTGGTTTTGCCTACAAACCATTAACAGCTCGCACAGTCCATCATTATCAGTAGATACCTCATTATTTCCAAGCAGTTTCCTAATGGTGCGATTTACAATGGCAGTATAGAAAGTTTCCTGCTTCTTTGCCAGTGGTGCGTATACCACAACTTCTCGTTTAGGAGGAACCTCAAGAGCAACATCGGATTTCAGTCTTCTCAGCAAGAAAGGTGTCAGAATCTGAAATGTTGAGCAGATGTGTTACAATTACTCAAAGCTCTCAACATGGCTAGTTTAAAAACAAAAACCCAACATATAAACGGGTCTACTGATATAATGCTCTTTTGACAATCTAAAGTAAGGGAGGTTATTTGCAGAGTTCCATATTTCATTTTTTAATACGGATGCCTACTCCAAAACTTTTACACACATGCTGGTAATACATGCATTCAAACAATGCATCCATTGACATTTTAAAAACTTTGAAGTGCTTAGTAAGGGTGCAGTAGTAATTACATTACAGACCTTTCAAATAATTTTCATTAACTGAAAGTCATTTTATTACAGAACAGCTCATTTTGCTTGTTATGTTTCTTAAAGAAAGTTATTCTGGGAAAGCCCCAAACCTTTATCCAAAATAAATAATAAGTTGTAATTGAGAATTATATCTAGACGATAAAATTTGTATCTCTCACCATCAGTTTATGATGGAAAAATTATAGTTCTATAAGCATTTACTTCCACACACACCCTTAAAAAAAGTTTTGAGTGTTAGTTTGGTTTTGAAGACAGGGACATTAAACAACTAGTTTGTCAAAAAGTATTCTGTTCAACACATAAAAGTTACAGAAATTCCCACAAAGTTATCCTTCAACAAAATAAGTGTACCAATTAAATCTTCCAACAAACAGAATCAGGCAACTGCAATTAAGTTTCACTAAACTCAATTCAGTTCCAAGAATAAAAATGAATCATTATCAAAGAGGTATGTTGTTCCTTTCAGCATTTTTAAGTGCTGTAAAGATTGAAAAAAACCCCCACAAGTCTAAGGAAGTCCAGAAGTGCCACAATAAAAGCTTCAGGCCAGAATTCAGCTCCACAAACAAGATTTTTGACACACTTCATAATAATGGCCAATGTTAGAAATAAATCATGAAAAAAACAACACAAAGAATAAGTGAAAACCTGATGCAGCATATGCAAGATATTTTGCTCCCTTTCTTTAGCAATAATATCTTCGGCAGTTTCTGTAATGCTGGTAATATCAAACCAGGATTCAAAGCTATAAAAACAAAGAAAAAAACAAAAGTAATAGCTGATTTCATAGCTATTATTCTTCATTATTTAAGTATACTATTATTCTCTTATCCTGTGATTTAAGAAAAACAAAGCACTAATATCCATCATAAATAGAGGGTGAACAGGAGGTATTTCTGAAATATATCTGTCAATTCAGATACTTGAGATTCTCAGCAATTGCTAAAAACACTTGTATTAGTTAGAATATTCACTATGATCTATCATATTGAATCTAGTCTACATCTTTTTCCAAAATTAGTCTAAAGACTGCTTTGGCAAGGTTCTTCCACCTGACATCCTACTGCTTCAGAAAAGGATGTGTCTTCCATAGGTCCCAATCTGCCAGCCTCACACAGCTTTCTGCAGAACCTTAAAGAACCTCAAGCAGCACCAGGCATTTACCATTTAGACAAACAGCTCTCCCCCCAGATGCTCACATCTGAGTTCAGAGTTGAGCTTCCACTATCCATAGAGCTGACAATTACTTTCTTTCTGAAACAGCTAAGCATGAAGGCAAGACACATTTCAAAGTCTTTACCACCAAACAATCATACCAAATTACAACCATACCATAAAATCTCTTCACATGCTGATACAAGTTTAATTATTAAAGAGTCACAATAATGCCCAAACAGAACAAAGGGGAATAGTTTTCACCATCAGATTGCAACCTACCTTTTCAAATCATCAAACACATCTGGCAACAGGAAGTTAAGCAATGACCAAAGCTCTGCCAAGTTGTTTTGCAGGGGAGTACCAGTCAACAGGAGTTTATTGTCTGCATTAAATCGTTTCAATTCCCTGATAAGGCGGCAGTTCATATTTTTAATCCTGTGACCTTCATCTACTATCAGGTATTTCCAGAAGCAATGCTACAAAAAGAAAAGAGTATTTCAGTAAACCTTCGCTTTACTCCATCAAAACACATGCCAGATGAGATAAGCAGAACTAGTAAAGACTGTCTGATACTATCCACAAATATTCTATTTACTGTTGTTTCTCACTTTTCCAGACTAGAAGAGCTGAGTCCAAAGAGTTCAATACCATACATCTGCTTCATGACTGCATTTAGAAAGCTTAGGTGATTACAATAAAACTTCTACAAGAAACTCATCTCCCTGAAACAACCATTCTGATGTTAACCACAATATTTATACATCAAGTATAGCTTTTACTTCAAGCCTCCCCCACCACTACCTACAGAGAGGTAATGAAAAGAGCAGGTATGCTATAACTATCTGCTTACTTCACTACTTGGATAGTGTTCTCTTTGAAGAACTTCTTAGGCATAAAATTCTAGTGCCACTGCTACCAAGGAAACAGAAGTGAATGCCACTATAAATGCTACAGTATGACATTTGTTGCACAGGCAGCATGTGGTGTTTGTGGGTTTTTTGGTGGGGTTTTTTTTGTTTTTGTTTTTTATTTTTACTATATTCAAAAGCATTGCTATTAGTGATGAGGCATTCCACCCATCCTAGGGCTTTCAGAAGAACTTAGATACCTGGAGGGCATTTCTGTCTCGTATTGCTATTTCAAAGGAAGTAATGACCACAGGATGGATTTGCAGTGATCCTTGTCGCCCATGAATTTTACGAACCAGTTTGCGACGTTCCCGCTGAGGTCCGTGATAGAGCATTAGTGGAATCTGAAAAAAAAAAAAAAAAGTTTTGAAGTCAGGTAAACTAAGCTCATTTAAGCCTAAACAGAAGATGGTAGAGATAATTAGGTCTGCTACAAGAAGGCTGTAAATACATAGCAAGTCATGGCACAGTGTGTAGAAACCACTGTGCCACCATTATAAACAAACTCCCATTAAAGTGATGTTCTAGATGAAGTTTCAAGACAAAGACTTAGACTAAGAATTACATAATTTATTCTTTTAAACCTAAGGAAGAAAAATAAAAGTCTTCATTTCTTTTACCTCTGGAGTAAATCTCTTGAATTCAGACATCCAATTTGGAAGAGTAGACAAAGGACCACATACTAAGAATGGACCAGGGACTCCTCGCTCCACCATCAGTGCTATTGTTGCAATACATTGGATCGTCTTACCCAACCCCATTTCATCAGCTAAAATGCCATTGATACCGTTTTCCCAAAGCATCTGCATGCACAGAAGAAAAAAAAGAAATAACCAACACACCTTAAGAACAATAGACATCTTCAGGAATGTAACACCTGTAGAAACTCTCTACTCAGCACATTTTATGTAACAGACAAGTAAGATTTCTCCATGATGGAAATAAATACAAGCATGTTGTAAAACCTATACATTCATACGAAGGTGTACATGCTTCAGCCAATTAAGTGTCTGACTAGGAGGCAAAAACCAGAACAGTATTAAAGGAAAGGATGTAAACTAGTGTTATATCAAAAAGCACTCCAACCTCAAGTACAGATCACACTATCCAAATTTTTACTCATCTCAGCTCCAAATAATTCCTTAGCTACCCCCTCTAAAAGACCATGTTATTGTGCTGATGTTTCGGTTTTATCTGTTCAAGTAGCTTCTATAGGCACAGCTACTTCACCATGGGAAAAAGGTGCAATTCCTGACCAACACAGCCAGCTGCTCTAGCAAAAGTTCTTTGTGCAGACACTGCCTATTCTGACAAATGGCAGAGCAACTTCTCACAAATGAGCAGACATAGAAGTGTTATTTCGCTACTCTATCTACTATTCATAAAGATTCACAAAGATGGTTTTAACTTGAGGACTCAACTAAAGAAGCTGGTTTTCACCCCCCATGAACAGGACTGTCTTCCCTACACACTTCCCAGTGACAGAACAGGAGTTCAGTGGCACTTACTTGTGAGATAAGCCTAAGCCTGTTAAAACAGGATACATAGGCTTGTGGGGAAGAAAAAAAGAAAGCAAAAACCTAAGGGAAAAATGAAATCATTAACAGAACAAAAATTAGTTCTGTCTGGCTCCAATAATTAAAAACCAAAGTTGTTCTAATTTGGCTTGCAAGCAAAAATGGGGAGAAATACGTATGTGGGCAATTTTTATGTCTAGCTTCTTTAGTTTTTTATTTCAAAGGCTGAAGACAACACATTTTTAAAACACTGGGTTAATATCACTAGTTAGATTCCAAGATGCAGAGAACAGAAAACTTTCATCCATCAGGCCCGCAAGGTAATGGTTCTTTAAACACTTACGGGGCTAGGTATTCAAGTCTGTCAGCAAAATAGTAAGACTGTCCCTTAGTAGTATGCACAGACCTTCTGCTTTCACAAAGTACTTATAAGGTCAGGCTGAAAAGACAGTTGAGTTGTACAAGAAAATAGATGGAGAAAGGCAAGATGGAGAACACCAACAAAATAAGTCTAAAGAAACACTTCCAAACACAGATATCTTCCCCACACTGAAACTTTTTATCTGCTGCTTGACAATTTCTTCATAACACCAGATTCTTGTATCATGAGAAACCATAAAGAACTGTCTCTTTCACCTTCCCTGTACCAACTGACTTCTAGTGTCTCTCTCCCTCCATTTCTCTGACTCCAATGAGCAACAGATTCAATTTCTTCAACAATTGCTCCATACCCTTAGCCACTCCATGCCTTCCACTTGGTACCACCTCATTACACCGCCAGTAAAAATCTTTGGCTGCTGAAAAGGCACTGGTTGTCCATTAAATTTCCGTACTGGATCAAGGAATTGCTTGGCACTGTGTCGTACAGCTTGACACAATCTATCCTTAATGACGCTATTTGAGTCTCCATTTTTCTGCAGGTCTTCTGGACACAGGTTGTCAGAAGAGCTTTCATCCTACAGAGGGAAGTTCAAGGAACATGTGACAAGTGGCATATACATCAAAGTCCAGCTAAGACACACTTTTGCCCAATTTACACCAGTCTTGATGTGCAGTGAAGTAAGCCAGCCCCTGACTCAAAGACTTACTTTGAGTAACTGTCAACTCAAGAGCAGAATTTATTCTTAGGATTAATATTACTACAGAGGCAGATGTCAACATGCAAAATTTCAATGCCTTATACACATTCTTTACTTGTATAGAACTGAAGAGCAGTGATAGCTGCTGAAGCTATTTGGCTTATAATTTTTTACCCATAAAAGCAAGCAGACTTAAAACTTCCCCACAGCGGACGGCATTTAATGCAGCTATTTCCCTTCTGTAAGTGGATTCTAAAGAATATCGGACAGTAATTCATACTGTACTTGTAGCTTTTAAACTACAGCAGAAGCAAGAGAGACCACACTTATCTCCATGCTTGAATGCTTAGAAGTTACTGTGTCCTAAGGTCTTACACACCAGTACAAATACATCTTAGTAAATTCCTATTTCTTTTATTTTTGAAACTACAGATGTTCTATAAAGTATAAATACATTCAAATTCAGTGTTTAAAAAAAATCAGAAGTTTTCACCCCAGATTTCTGAAAATAAGTATTTAAGTGCATTCACTTGCACCACTTTTTTAAATTTCTAATTCAGACTTCAATAGATAGCAGAGAGATGTTTATTTACAGGAAACATTTGAAGATATACTATTAAGTATAAAAAGCCCAGCTTCCCTTTGAGCTTAACACACTTAAACTACAATAACATATGCCAACATACCTGATTTTCCACTTTACTTTTTTTTGCCACTGATAATATTTCCTGGAAACACAAGAAAAAGCTATGCTTATGCGCTTTTCAACCTTAAAAGTATTTCACAAGATCTTTTAATTGCACAATCCAGACATACTTTAAAAAGTTTTCCATACAACAGCATTAATCATACAAGTGACTCTAACCAAGGCTACACACCAGAGAATACATTCCAGTTACAAAGGGTAATTGAAAGTTTAACTGGAGATGTAGTCTTTTCACAGCTTGCCTCCCCAAAGACTTTAAAAGAAAAAAAAAGCAAGCATCTGAATTCTACAGGTCTGACAACACTGCTTGTTACATAGATCTTTGTTGGAAGAAAGCCATACATTACTGATAGGCTACTGTTGGCTGTCAGTTGATAATCTCTGATGGCAATGTACGAGAATGTATTGCTCTAAAATATAGATGTCACTCAGCGATTGCCTCACCAGTCAAAGTCTGTGCTACAAAAATCCAGACAAGCCTATTTATAGCTATGTCCTACCTCTTTGGACATAATTTCTGAGATGTTGTATGTACCATCTTCTCTTCCTCTCTTCTTTTTTGCACCTATAAGATAACATTTGAGTTTATGCAACATCAAACATTGAAGAAACTAAAAGCACCAGTACTGACAAAAGGCAAAGCCTAATGCATTACCTGATTTCTCCTCTTTGCCATCAACTGGATTTTGACCCTAGAAAATAAACATAGGAAGAAGTTCATCATCTTTTGCATTTCTAACTGTCATGACACAGATAAAAAGATGTGCAGCCTCAAACCATTGACTTTGAAGGCTTCTTGAAACACTTTTACTATTAAGCAGTTTATAAAAATACAGCAAAAAAGTTCCTGCTTATCTTTTATGTTAGCTATTCAGCCTCTTGGCTGAATAAGTAATCATTGCTAAAACAAAAAACCTCCTCAAGACAAATTAAAACCATTTTCTTTAGTATGATTAGTCAGAAACATCTTCTTAAGATGACTGTCATGGTATGCAATTTCTAAGCACTTTTAAACAGTTTTCTTATGGTTAAAATAAATATGGTATACTAGACAGATCCTGCAAGTCAAATACTGGCTAAGTCTAACTTACTTTGTTTTCCTACCTTCATCAAAATTGACATGGTAATTTGTCAGACTTTTTCAGAATTATTTCAAAATTCAGAAAATTACGTAAAATAGCTAGTTAATCTTACCTTGGCAGATTTTAACATCATCTCTCTCTTTTTTTCTAACTTCTCTTTCCTTCTCTGCTCCTAAAAGAAACAAACAACCAAACAACCAACCACACACATTTCTTATCTTTCAATAATGCCCCAAAGAGAACTACCCATTAGAGAAATGATAATGGGCATAAGTTACATTGGTAGAGTTCCGTGTACTCTACAGACTTTGTTTTTGCACTCTCACTGAGAGCCTGTATTCTAACACAGTTTAATATGATAAAGCACAACTCAGGCAAGAAAGTGCAACTGCTCCGAATTGCTTGTCAGTGAATACTTTAAACACTTACATACAGTAATTTAGAAAGACTCCAACAAAAATATTCCCAATTGCAAAGTCCTTAAGATCACATCTATTGCAATAAGTCTTCCATGTATCCAGCTCCCCTTTAACTTCTACATATTACCACTGTTGTTCATTGTGAAACAGAAAGCAATGTAAGTAGTCTACAAGTTCCAGTAGATTTTCATGTTATTATTGCAGCATTTTTACTTCAGTTCAAACAGCTGGATGGCAAAAAAAACCCAAACAAACAGATGGCAGCCCATTTTAAGAATCCCCACTGCAGACAACAATATACCTACCTCCAGTTGCTGCTGTTCCATTTTGGTTAGCAAGAATTTGGAATAGATGTTGCTTTTTTCAAGCAAATGTTGAAGCCTCTTATAGCGCATTTCAGTTGACTCCCTGTCCCAAGAAGTTCGAGCCTGGTCAATACAAAGAGACGTCAAGTATTTATAGATGCTCCAGAGTGAATGCTTTTAATATAATGAAGGGTTCTTCTACAAGAGAACTACAATTGTCTCACAGCCTTTCCCTTCCAGTCATTATTGAAACAAGGACCTGGGACAGTTATGAGTTTATTTTAGCATATGGAATTAGTCAGGTGTGGGCTTTGTAAATGTCCTTTTGTAGTTGTGTGTACCCTTCTGGAGGGTTGTTGATTTTTGTACAGATTTCTTTGGCCTAATGACTGTGTGATTGTGTTTAACAGCCTACTCTCATAGTCCTTAGGCTATACTTGCCTCAGTGCTAACATTTCAGCTATGTTTAAATAGTTAATCACAAGGAAATGCATGCGTGTAGAACCAAGAGGCCTCATGGAATTAAAACAAAGATGACATAAGAACAAGAACGGAGAAATTAACCTTGAGAATAGAAACATCCTAGCAGGAGTGCTCAAACAAGGATGGTAAGAAAGAATCGCTTGGCTATGTAAATGTAGTAGATAGGCAGGGAGGTGGAGCTTTCTTGGAAAATGTGTGAATATTCATGTCTTTAAGGCATATAAAGGATGAACTTTTGTTTCAAAGCACGCATGTTAGGAGGAGATATATCCCACGCGTCTGGCGCTGTAATAAAGATGTCTGCTTAATAACACTTTGATGTTATCGAGTTTACATTTCTTTGAATCATTATACATCTGATTTGTGAGTGGACTCACATGTACCTACAAAATGGTGTAAGATGAAGTAACTGACGGTTGCATTCACCTGCATATGTAAACAGAGCACTGCAACACACATGCTTCCAGTGCAGTAAGCACAAGGCATTCAAAGACTCAAAGGTGTCTCAACTCAAATTTATAAATTTAGAACAAAAATGAAATTTAAGTCTATTTGTAGCCTGCAAATTTTCGGAAGGAAAAAAACCCTACCTGGCAAAATTCAACAGTTTCCCAATTATTAGTTCAGACTCCTCACGTGCCATTTGCACAAAGGTACCATTTTTCATTATGAAGAAGATACTAAACCATCATGACTAATTTACAGAGGTTAAGTTAATTTCCAATATGGAAACAGTAACTTCTGCTTGCTTTGCTTACAAAATCCACACATGCTTTTAAAAGTAACTTCTGTCAAATTAGTTAAGGCTGTGTATTTAGAAGCTTGCAATTTACTCTTTAAAACTCAGATCAAGACTATCCCAAAAAGTTAAAAAGCATTCACTCTCCTGCATTCATGCAACATTGCCTGGTAGATTGAGACATCAAATAAGTGAAAAGGTATAAATTAGCATCTCAAAGAGAAACTCCAGAAAGACAAGGTACATGGCTTTTACAAGATGCTTATCTATGCCATAAGCATCCAGAAGAAACACTGGGGGAAGGGCACACCAGGACAGAAAGGCAAGGGAATCTTCTGAAACTAAAGAGACTAACAGGCAGGGAAAAAAGATCTTAGCTGAATCATGGGACAAACTGTGACACAGGAAAGTGGGAGCATGTTTCTCTCCCCCAGAACTAACACCTTTATTTTCCACAGGCAGTACTCCACGTCATTCTTATCAGGTAGCTACCACTGTATTCTTTTACAAGGGCAAGATCCATCTCCACAAGTTTTTTGGGGGAAGAGATTGCCCTCTTGTGATTCTCTACACAGTTACAGTTTTTATTTGCTTCTACTATTCCCAATCCAGTTTTTTTTTCCTTCAGATGAAAAGTACCCGAGCTCAGAAATATCAAGCCTTGATGGCAATGCCAAGAGAGAATATAATTAAAACTACTTAATTCAGTAAATTGCTATTGCTCACTTTTTCTTGGGAGTGAACACAGCATCCTTCCATTAACTGGTCAATCTGAAGGACCTTTCCCTTGACCAACTGTGAAAACTCCAAGGGAAAAAAGGAAAACTCAAAGACCATGAACAGCATTGAACTTTTATGATTTGTCCACTTTGTTCTTGACTCAACCTTCAAGACTCAAAGTGGGGTTTTTTCCTTTTTGACTGAAAAGGTCAAAAATTTGCCACTCTTTCATCATTCTAAATTCTTACATATTTGCATGGTGGTATTTCGCCATCAGCCCACAGAAAGAACAAGTGACTTCTTTGTTGAACTGCTGTACAGACCACCTGGCAGGCGATTTGCCGAAGTGACAAGCATAAAATACCCAGAAGCTTCAATAACATCAACTTTCCCCAAGATGCCAGTAAGCCTGGGTTTAACAACATAAGTAATCTCCCTTGGTCTGACTGGCCCCAGATTGCACAGAGAAAGCACCATAGAAGCACACGGGACAATGAAGCGATACCCTTGCTAGAGGTAAGCTCTGTGGATTCTCAAGAAATGGAGAAAATACCAAAAAACCCAGACCTATCACTTTATAGTATTGTTACAAAAGTGGTTGTTGTGAAAGAAAAGGACTTAAAATTTAATTTCTTAATACTTCCTGTGTAATGAGATAATTCGCTCTGTAAGGGTTTCCTCCTTACCCTCCAAAAGCATTGCCTCCAAATTTTTAGTTCCAAGTCTGATCAAGGAATACCTGAAGAGAAGTTTGGACAGGCTCTGTCATGACTTATTGTTTGCAAGAAAAAAGATTATAAGACTTCTGGGAGAATAAAATCTTCTTTCTAACTACAGTATCACAAAATGCTGCAGCCTAAACACATACCTTTATAAATCACAACTTTTCTTAGTGATAAGAGTAATTAAAATTATTTCTAGGCCTTAGAAATCTTATCTTTCATGCCCTTAGAATAATGCTTCAATTTTTAAGACACCAGTCTCTTGCGGGCTGAATACAAAGCTATGTAATTAACAGAAAAGGGAAAAATGAGAGCAGTCGGAAAGACACAGAAAAAAACCCAAGTGACTTTTCAAGTATTTTGAGTAACAGCATTAGTTCTTTAGAATACAGTTCTCAAAAGAGCATTTAAGGTAACAGTTATTTCAAGCTCTTATTTCTTTATGCCTGAAATACAATACCTTATATAGTATTCTGACACCTTGATAATTTGTATCAGCACAGATCTAGAAGCATCATGTTTTCATGTTCTCTCTCCAAACCAGATTGGTTAACATCAACCAATGCTCAGTATCAACATCTGAAAACATTCACAGCCAAGAAAGAAATGAAATGTAGTAATAATTATGTAATTTGTGTTAGGGATTTGGCATTTCCTTGAAGCAGTCTAGAAACACTTCTATTTCCTGCAACATAAGCAAACAGAAGTTCACAGAGCAAGCATTAACTCTCAGGATGATTACATGTACGTTTCTCCTGGCAGCAATACCAGCTCCAAGCAGCTCCTGCTCCACTCAATGAGGGGTGCCTGCACAACTGCGTGCAGGGAAGAGCCAGAGAGCAGACCAGTAAACCGGCATAAAAGCGATCCTTTCTGGCTAAGCGTCTTAAGCTAGGCTACTTCCCTGATGCAGTTCAGTTACAGCCTTCAAACACCATTGCAAAGAGAATGAGCTGCCAGCGCCAACAGCTGCCTAAACTATACCTGCTACCAAAAGAAACGCATAACCGGGCTTATTTCTGGAAAGGATAAATGGTTTTAAAGAAGTGTCCTGCAGAGCTCTTATCTGGTTTTATAAAATAAGCAGCAAAAAGAGGAAGAGAAGTGTTATGTACATGTATAGAAAACACAAACCAAAAAGTTTTGCCCTTAACATATCAGATAGAAACTCAGAAGAACGTAAACTTACTATGCTTTCTGAAATCA